TGGGGGGTTGGGGGAGGGGGGAGCTTAAATTTACTTTCATCGGATCTTCGTTTCCCATGCAGAAGAGTCTCTTGGAAGAAAATATAGACAGAATAGCATAATTGTAGTTTATTTACCCTCTTGGGAAAAACTGGTCTGCACCCAAAACAAATGAAAATAAATAAATAAATAAAATAAAATAAAAATAATGAAAAAACAAAAATCCCGGTGCAATCCCAGATTTCCCATTCCTTCACCTCCAGGTGTTCCATATCCATTGTTTACTACGGCATCTCCTTTGGTGTGTCCAGCTTGGCAGGCAACATTTACCTCAACATCTTCCTTTTGGCGGTGGTGGAGTTGCCCGCCATGTTTTCCACATTTTATTTCAATAACAAGTGAGTCTATGGGTTTTACTTAATGTTCAATGAAAGATCTGCAAAGCTGGCCTATTATAGAAAACTGCATCTCTTCTTGCCGTTTAAAGGCAACAGAGGATGAAAAAGTAAAAGAAAAAGAAACAAGTAAGCAGAACAAGTTAGTTCCGTCTACTTGTTTCCAAAGCCAGTGTCCCTATTTTAGTTACCATAGTTATCATAATACCTCGCTCATCATTAACTAATAATACCCTTTGAAATGCTTGGAGGAAGAGAGGTTTTAGAACGTTCTTCGGGCTACCACGGGTAGATTTAGCACGTATGGTAAAGAGAAAAAAAAGTAAAGGAAATAATATTGACAAGCATCGCACAAACGCCATAGCTTACCAAACGGCGCCTTTCCATTTCTTAAAGTGGTACGCTTCTCTGCCTAAATAATAATATAATATGTGAGGCAGCATGGTGGAATCAGGCTATCGTCAAATTTGGGCATGTAGTGTTATTGGTATCATCTTAAAGCTTGTTCACTTGTCATTATTTGGATGGAAAAAAATATTCATTTATCTTGAATACAAGTCGAGATATTTGCGAATGAAGGAAGTGGGGTTACCAGTTTTCAGAGGTAAAATTAGTGAGAAAATGGCCCCCAAAGATCAGTTATTTCCTTAGCTTAAGAGTCCGTGGTACAGAAAATTAAAATTTGTTGTGGCTTTAATCAATGTTTTTTTTAAAAATCCACACATAAATTAGTTCTTTAACGGGCATGAAAGGTGTTGAGACAAAAAACCAAAATTTCATGAAAATTCACAAACCAGCTGGAAAATGCAAGTTTCTTCACTTTGATTATTTTGACGAGAGCCTGATTCCACCACGCTGCCTCACAAATAGTTAGCTGGTTGAACCATCTTATAACTTTGCTTGTAACCTTCAAGAGCTATATAATCAAAGAAAACAAAATCCACAAACAAAGCACTACTTGTAGTTATCGTGTAAAACGCATAGAGCTTGCTGTAAAGTATGGATATGCCCTAGGCCCTACTTAAATGTAATTAATTTCACCATTACACAGTTTTCGAGGTCTTTATCTCTGCCTCATAAAAGCAAAGAATTTATAATATACCGCTACTGAAACATGTACTATCTATACCAAAGCATTATAAAACGTTCCATCACGGTTGATATCATTTGCCCACCATTCCATAAACTATACGACTATTTGCGAGGGATGTTTCGCTGCACCCCATAATGAAAGTTTGGAATATTCAACAATCAAAGTATCTAACTTCACCTTTTTTTCTAAAGTGGTGACTTTTCTACAAACGCTTCTTTCAGGTTATTCAAGAGATTAGAGGGATGGTATATCTAGATCTGTAGTCAAAACATAAAGTATTGTTTATGTGTATTTACAAAGTGCTCGATCAGGTCTTGTGTTCTTTTATCTTGGTTTAACGCTGTTTAAATATCATATACATCTATTATTATCATATCTGATGTTAACAGCCACTATGGTAGGACCGAAACAAGCTGGCGCACTCTCAATAGACACTCATAATCTATCTCAATCTCTCACTCTTCTCTCTCTCTCTCTCTCTCTCTCTCTCTCTCTCTCTCTCTCTCTCTCTCTCTCTCTCTCTCTCTTTCCTTCTCTCTCCATCTCTCTGTGTCTTTGTCTCTCTGTGTCTCTGTCTGTCTGTCTGTCTGTCTGCCTGCCTGCCTGTCTGTCTGCCTGTCTGTCTCTTTCTCTCTCTTTCTCTCTCTCTCTCTCTCTCTCTCTCTCTCTCTCTCTCTCTGTGTGTGTGTGTGTGTATGTGTGTGTGTGTGTGTGTGTGTGTGTGTGTGTGTGTGTGTGTGTGTGTGTTAGTGTGTGTCACTCACTCATTTTATCAGATTCATACTCGAGTCCCAGTTATGAAAGAAGAGGCTCCTCGCAGCTTCTTTGAACACATTTTGTTACAAAGACTTAGATACAAAACAATAAAGGAAAGGGGGAAAAAAAGTTGAACGTTCTCCAACTTGATTTTATTTTTTCGACCAGTCGTCTTCTACACCATGAAGATAATAGCCTACTTGTACAAAGTATATTTCCCTAAAACAAGTTGCCACTTATCAAGCTGTTTTCACAAATTTTCTTCCCCAGAATAGGCCGAAAGTGGACGGCGTTTATTTTGCAAGGCATAGGGCTGCTGGGTTCAGTGGCCTGTCTTATCTCAAGGTATACAGGTATGCCCGCGGGGATTATCAGCAGCGTTTACTAAAGGCTTAACCGTCCCCCTTGCACGCAACGCATGTCAACGTCTGTGATGTAATAGTTAGACTCAGTTGTAAAAGTAAACTTAAGCCTTCCATTCGGAACTTACTTGGCATACTTCACTTGTCCGGTGTCTCGACCACGCAGTAGACTGTAGAGCCTGACTGTGGATAGCCTTGACATTCTTTGTGTAAGACGTATGACTTAATTTATTTGGGTTTTTTGTTGTTTGGTTGTTGTTTTTTGTTCGCTTGGTCGTTTGGTTGTTGCTGTTTTTTTGTTTGTTTATTTTTTAAATATATTTTTGGGGGGTTGGGGGAGGGGGGAGCTTAAATTTACTTTCATCGGATCTTCGTTTCCCATGCAGAAGAGTCTCTTGGAAGAAAATATAGACAGAATAGCATAATTGTAGTTTATTTACCCTCTTGGGAAAAACTGGTCTGCAATAGCATAAATAATATATACACACAAATAAATATATAGATCTAGATACATAGTTATATGAATACAATTACTTATCAAAGTTGAATTACACACAAGATAAAACCGACTCTGACGTGCTATTGCTGGAAGCTACAGTGCAGCACCCTATTTCTGAGCAATATTTATTTTGCTTTGTTCACCCTCCATCTGCCTATCGCCTTCTCACAGGAATGGGTTTGATATTTTAGTGCATCTGAGCTAACTCACTTGTCAGCCACTAGTGCTCACGTTTCCTGAAGAAAAAAAAAGCTGGTGGAAAAGTCACAGTGAAGTTTTGTTCGTTTTACCTGTAGAACTCCATAATTGTTCTAGAATCGTCCCCAAAACCCTTTCTCCATTTTTTCCATCTGCGAAAATGAGAGAAAAGTGTTCATATTCAAGTCAAGAACAAATGCACTCATACACACAAACATACAAACACACACGCACACATACACATACAAACTCGCGCACCCACATACATAGACACACGCACGTCATCATCGTCAAGTGCCCGAATCTGAAACAGACGTTAGCAGTTATGGTTCGTCGCTTATGTTTCTGCTCGAATCCCCTCGAAAACCCAAGAGTATCCTTCTCTTTCTTTTACCCGCTACCCATCTGTTCTAATTATGTATTGCATTAAGTTTTTTAAACTTTATTATTATTATTTTTTTATTTTTTATTTATTATTATTATTATTATTGTTATTATTATTATTATTATTAATACCATTGAAAGTGTGCTCGATTTTGATCACTGATATCAACATCTGGGAGTAAAAATTTCAAGAGGACAGTAGAATGTTGAATACAAGTCCTCGTGTCGTTGTATCATGTTCGTCCAAAAATGGTGCGTCTGGTATTTTTATCATTTGTCGACCTCAATTTCAGAACGAGTAGGCACATGTGACTTTGTGTAGGAGAAACAAATGTAAACTTTTTTGAAACGGCGTGAGTACGCCTTGTCTTTTTTCTCCTCTTTTCTTTTTTTTTTCATTAGGGGAAGAGAATGAGCGTATCTGACTGTGTTGCTTGAGCAGACGCACTAATGAACGGCACGGGGGG